AGTTTTGATTATGTTCTTTCTGCGAAAGAGATAAACACATTATTATAATTTTTTTACTGCATAAAGAATTTAATATTACTAAAAATGTCTTTCTTTCCGCTCGCCATTATAAATCACTGAATAACAAAGTTTTGCAAAATCCCTGCCGGTCAGCAAGTTAGGCATCAGGTATTATGCATATTGCCTAGCCAATGCGAAGAATAAGCATGTCTATCTAACATTCAGATTGACTCTCGCGTACGACATTTTGCAGGTTGTCTGAAATCCCGTAGTCAATTTGCATATTGCCCGAAGTACTAGCGATTCTGCAAAGTGCCTGGCGGGTTGGTCAGTTTGAAGAACTGGTAACATATATATAGTGTATATTCAAAAATGTTTGCAAAATAATATATACATTTAAATTGAACACTCTTTTTCTTGTAGGTATACGAAGAAACTTCTGGTGTCACTGTAGGAGATCCCGTATTGAGAACAGGAAAACCACTGTCTGTGGAATTGGGTCCCGGTATTATGGGTTCCATCTTTGATGGTATTCAGAGACCTTTAAAGGATATTCATGATTTGACCCAGTCCATTTATATTCCCAAGGGCGTGAACGTTCCCGCCCTATCTAGAACAGCGCAATGGGACTTCAGTCCGATTAATATTAAAGTGCGTGTTGTCACCGTTTGGTGCATGTTACGTATTATCAACAATTTATGAACTTTCAGATTGGATCACATTTGACGGGTGGAGACATTTACGGTATGGTTCACGAAAATACTTTAGTGAAACATAAGCTTATTTTGCCACCTAAGGCAAAAGGTACCATCACTTATATTGCTGAACCTGGCAATTATACTGTCGATGTAAGTTCTGTACATGGCTTAGCTCATCTAACTTTGAATCCACCGATCGTTTTCGTTTAGGATATCGTTCTTGAAACTGAATTCGATGGTGAACGCACTAAATTCACTATGTTGCAAGTATGGCCTGTGCGTCAGCCTCGTCCCTGCAGCGAAAAATTACAAGCAAACCACCCACTTCTCACTGGACAACGTGTACTTGACGCACTCTTCCCGTAAATATATTGTTAAAGTGCAAAGATTACGTTTTAATTCAATGTTCGGTTCCAGTTGCGTGCAAGGAGGTACCACTGCCATTCCTGGAGCTTTCGGTTGCGGCAAAACTGTAATTTCTCAAGCTTTGTCTAAGTATTCCAACTCCGACGTCATCGTTTACGTCGGTTGTGGAGAAAGAGGTAATTAGTAAATTATGTAGTTGTTTATTTAATTTACTTAAATGCTATCTATTATTCGCAGGTAATGAAATGTCTGAAGTACTTCGGGATTTCCCCGAACTGACGGTCGAAATTGAGGGTGCTACTGAATCAATCATGAAGCGTACTGCATTGGTGGCCAATACCTCAAACATGCCTGTAGCTGCTCGTGAAGCCTCTATTTACACTGGCATCACCCTATCTGAATACTTCCGTGACATGGGTTACAATGTGTCTATGATGGCTGACTCCACTTCCCGTTGGGCTGAAGCGTTGAGAGAAATTTCAGGTTTGCAATTGCTGATTGGAAGCATAATGTTATAGCAATTTGGGGAGGATATATTAGTGAATAATTTTGAATTTGATTTACAGGACGTCTGGCTGAAATGCCTGCCGATTCCGGTTACCCTGCTTATTTGGGTGCACGTTTGGCCTCCTTCTACGAGCGTGCTGGTCGCGTTAAATGCCTGGGTAACCCTGACAGGGAAGGATCTGTGTCCATTGTAGGAGCCGTATCTCCTCCTGGGGGTGACTTCTCTGACCCTGTAACTTCCGCCACTTTGGGTATTGTACAGGTAAAATAAGCGCAGCACGTAGTGCAATTGAGTCCTTCGATTCATTCGTTGCTTGCATAGGTGTTCTGGGGTTTGGACAAGAAACTGGCCCAACGTAAGCATTTCCCTTCAGTAAATTGGCTCATTTCGTATTCGAAATACATGCGCGCTTTGGATGATTTCTACGACAAGAACTTCCCGGAATTCGTGGCTCTCAGGACCAAAGCTAAAGAGATTTTGCAGGTGCGCTATACCAATACTAACATTATTTCGTATAATAAAGTAAATGTATTCTTGATTCTAACAGGAAGAAGAAGACTTGTCTGAAATTGTGCAACTGGTAGGTAAAGCCTCCTTGGCTGAAGGCGATAAGATCACTCTTGAGGTCGCCAAGTTGCTTAAAGAAGATTTCTTGCAACAGAATTCTTATTCGGCCTATGACAGATTCTGTCCTTTTTACAAGACAGTCGGTGAGTACAACTTCAGAGCAGTTAAACTTATACACATTTTTTTACACTATCTACAAAATTGTTGTTCTATGATTTGGTTTTTAGGATAAATGATCGTTTTCTCGTGCGGAAAGTTTCTATAAACGGAGCATACATTTGTGATATCTTTTCTAGCTTCCGCATTTTTATGAATATTTTCAAATAATTGGTTTACATTGATTTAACATGAAAGTAACACACGAAAGCTTTTGGCATTAATTCTTTGAATTTCTATTAAAATCTAACAATACCTACAACGGATACATTGGAAAGTGAAGTGGGTAAAATGAGAAAACAATCGACAGCTCGTGGGTTTATAGCTAAAAGTGACCAAGTCCGAAATTGCCGTACTTGTGTTTGTTGACCAACTAATTTAAAAAATAATATGTTTATCTCAAAAACTGACAAAGTCCCCCAAGGCCATACAAACAGGTACACTAAAATATGTTTTTAATGACCAAGTTTCCAAAAGGATTCTGATGTAATATTTTGGCTCGGTTTAAAAGTGCTAAAAATTGATATTTTAGCCTTGGTCAGTTTTAGCTTTAAGCCCACGAGTTGAAAGTCTAATAAATTCGTTGTACAATTTTTCATTTTTTATATAATGACAGCGATATGAATATAATTAATCAATTGTTATAATGAAATTAAAAACAAGTTTTTAATATTCTAAACAAGCAGAAAAGGTCAAACAGAAACTTTTTAAAGAGTTCTTTAAAAAGCGTTTACCTACAGTTGCCATGAGAAAGTTGAGTCGATTTTGCGACAGTTTTGAAATTGACGACAAAAATAAATAATACTAAAATTCGAAAATTTGAATCAGGTTTTAAAGATCAATTTTATTAGTCGTAGTTTTTTCCTTATTGCACCAACTTGATATCATTTATGACTTCTGATATCCTGATATATATTCTAGCCATTCTTACCTTGAGCACGCTTCCAGTGAATCTCTTCTTCTTGTTCTTCTTCGTTGTCCACTGCAGGACATAAGCCTCTTCCAATCTCTTCCATGCATTTCTGTCTTGAGCGGTTTGCTGCCAATCGGTGCCCGCTGTTCTCTTCACATCGTCTTTTCATCTTTGGAGGTCTACCTATGGTCCTCCTTGTTTCTCTGGGTCTCCATTGAATTAACTTTTTCGTCCATTTCCGGTTTTGTCTGGCTACATGACCAACCCATTGCCAATTAAGGTGTGCGACAAGCTCCATGATATCGGTGACTTTGGTTCTTTGTATAATGTTCTCATTCCGCACTGTATCCCTCAGACTGATCCCAAGCATTATTGGCTCTATTGCTCGTTGCGTCGTTCTAAGTCTGTTTTCGCTTCTTTTCTGTTAATGTGGCGGTTTCTAGGCCGGAAGTTGAGACTGGCAGTATGTAAGCTTTGTGTACCTTACGTTTCAGGCTTATGGGCATATTGGAATCTTTAAATATATTTAGTTGGAATTAGTTGTAAATTTGAGGCTGTATTGAGCAAAAATGGTTACAAATGGATTATTGAAAGTATTGTCCATCGCTAGTCACTACCTTTTCCCATCTTTCTGTCAATTTTCGGATACCAGCTCGGAAAAACAGTTCGTCTTTTGATGCGATCCATGTATCGATTGCGGGTGCGGTAGAACATCCCATTTGAACGTTTTCTACAAAGTACTTTTTGACGGGTTTTGAGACATGAGGACGAGCGTTGTCATGTTGCAGAATGACTTTGTCGTGCCTCTGCTCGAATTGGGGCCGTTTTTCTTTCAATGCCCGGCTTAAACGCATCAATTGTGTTCGGTAAAGGTCTCCGGTGATGGTTTCGTTCGGTTTGTGCAGCTGATAATAAATGACGCCCAGCTGATCCCACCAAATACAGAGTATGAGCTTGGATCCATAGATATTGGGTCTTATATAAGATTTTTTTCGCGTGGATTTATCGTAATGGATCCACTTTTCATCGCCAGTGACGATGCAATGCAAAAAACCATTTCCTTTTGACGACTTCGGAAGCCGCCTCTCCACGTCTCTCGGCTTCAGCTCGTATGGCACCCAATTTCCTTGCTTCGCAATCATACCCATCGCTTTGAGACCTTTGCCGACTGCTGACAAGTCAACTTCCAATGATACGGACAATTCTTGGAGCGTTTGATACGGATCTTCATCGGGTAACACCTCCAATTCTTCGTCTTCACACATTCCTTGCCATCGGTGTCAAAATCACCACTTTTGAAGCGTCGAAACCAGTACTCACATGTTGAAATCGATGGAGTATAACCCGCGTAAGCTTCCTCGAGCAGCAAACGACTTGCAGCAGCAGTTTTCTTCGAATGGAAGCAGAACAATAAAGCTTCCCATAAATTGCGTTTATTCGGAACGAAAGTCGGCATATTGAATGGTCTTGGAATGTATGTTGGTTACATTTTCGCAAGATGACACATACTTACAATCCAAGCTATAATATAGTGCTTTAGCGCGAATATAGTTTTGGAGTGCCCACATGCAACATAACACCATTTCTTAGAAAACCTTTAAAACTAATTCAAACTCCTAATATATTGGAGCATACCAACAGCCGACCAGGTCCAAGATACTCTTCTGACAATCTCCTCCGTTTGATTTTCCTTTCCAAGCTTTACTGCGTGTCCAAGGTATATGTACCGATCTACGTTTTCTATTACTTGGTCTTGAATTTTCAAATGTTCTCCTATTGGACTCATGATTTTAGTTTTGTCGATATTCATCTCAAGTCCTACTGTCGATGGCATGTGCTTTAGATCTTCTAGAAGGTTCTAAGTTCATTTATGTCGCAGCTAATAAGCACAATGTCATCAGCAAAGCGTAAATGATTCAGATATGAGCCGTCTATTTTAATTCCTTTATTTTCCCACTGTATTTTCTTAAATATTTTCTCTAGGGTCAGTGTAAACAATTTCGGAGATCGGCATATCCTCCTTGGCGTACACCTCGACCCACCGAAATTTTATTCGTCTTAGTATCCTGATCTATTTGGGCACAGAAGGAGGCATTTTCGTATATGTTCTTTATAAGCTGCGAGTGGCATCATCCATTGATGAGAGGAAGGCCCATTTTTCTAGAGTCCAGTGAATAAATAAATTTTAATTAATACAGCACATTTTGTATGTTTTATATACATACATACATATTTATTGATACGGATTGATTTCCTTATATTATTTTCCAAATTATTAAATTCAAGCCTTGCAGCTCTGTTGGTTTTGGATTAAATGTAATTTATTACCATAAATGAAAAATAAGTGCCATAAAACTATTTTCACTCCGTTAAATTAACACAGACTTTTACTATTGTTTAAGAATAAAATTATGACGTTGGGTAAACTCGCACTTACTGTCGATAGACATCTAGTCCACAAAAATATTAACGTGAGAAATAAAGTTTCATTTTAAACAGATGATGCATTTTAAACAGGCTATGACATTATTCAGGGAAAGTTTGAACAAACAGCTGCTTTATTATTAAAATGTATGAACGTTTTTCAACACAACTAACTTGTCATAATAACAAGAGTTGACTTAGTGACAACAGATGTTTTTATTTATTGACTATAATTTTTAGCCTATTGAGGATATTTTTTATCGCAAACATTTGCAAAATATTAATGCAGCAATATTAACTTGCTTCGATCTTGATCATAATCTTCCGTCGTATTTAGAATTTTCGATAAAACGTTTTGTCATTTTTTTTCCTTATAGAATAATTTAATTATAAAGTGAACTTTATAATAAACCGTCTAAAACTAAATACTGAAAAATTGTACTTTTTAAAGTTGTCATATTCACTTGTAGGTATTTTTTCGTTTATTTTTGTGTTTTAATTCCCAATGTTCGATATTTTTTCAAAACAAACATCAAGTTATATTCGAATTTCGTTTTTTAAATCAGAGGTAAAAGCTACAATCTTCTAAATAATTGTGGACTTGGACTTTTTTTTTCGGTGAGGTTTGGGAAATGCTCTTTTATGCACTCCCAGAGCTGGTGGTCTGTCGCTCTGGTTTGTGTGGGACTCCAGCTAAGCTGTTTACCCACTAAAACCCTTTCCTCACCGCCGAGGTGGTGTTTGGCCTAGCACCGCGGTCATTTCTGTCCTATTGCGCCCTCTTAATTTTACTCCCTCATTATCCCTGTATATTCAATGAATTCCTAAAGAATCTTGAGGGGAGTTCGCATGATCTGGTCTGGTGGAATTTCATCTCCTCCCAGGAGTCTTCGTCTACCTGTTGCATATGACGTGCAGTGACACATGACATGCAGAGTAGTTTCGTCTTCTAATTTGCAACCTTTGCAGGTCGGTTGATCGCTCAGTCCCATCCCGAAGAGGTGATTTTTGCATGCGGCGTGTCCTGTTAAAAAAGCCACTATCCTCCTTATTTTTTGCCTGCTGAGACCTAGCAGTTCATTTTTACGTACTGGTTGTGGAGGTCCCACCAACTGCTTTGCGGTATGGAGTCGCG